TCGCTTTTTGATAGGCTCTAATTAATGTGTACATAATGGTGGAAGTAATTGCATCAATAAGCGTAAAAGGCGTCCGAAGACGGTCTAAGTCACGACTGTACACAGATTAGGGCTGTAAATAAAAACACGCCGGCCAATTTTATTGTTCGCCCGCGACCGTTACGTATACGAAAAGTAAATTATTACCTGCAATTTCAACCGGCCTAAATACTAGCTATCATCCCGGTCAGGAGGTACATACACAAATAAATGGCTGTAGAGCTTGTAATTTAGTCCCGGTTGTGATTTAATGCATGATTGATCTATTTAAAGTGTAATCCTGTTACACATAAATAAAAACTATTTAATTTTGTTTTTATAAAGTATATTAACATTTTAATAAAGATTTTACACATGTAATAATTTCATTTGTTAATTGTTGCAACTGGCAACTATTACTATTACTGTGTGATGATTAGTGACCGTTAGTCGGTGATTATTCGGAAATCGTGAGATGCGGTCTGGTGCGACTTAGGTTTCAGAATTTTCACATTTTCTTTATCGAGCCAACGTTTCGGTCTTTACTGAGATCATCTTCAGGGCCTGGGATTTGTAAAATTTAAACAATGTTTATAATTTGGGGGGCCTTCAGGGCCTGGGATTTATAAACATTGTTTAAATTTTACAAATACTTGTAGATCATCTTCAGGGCTCAAAGTGTTTGTTTTCTGCGTAATTTTGCCATTCTTGCGTGTCGTGCAATCGACATGCAAGAATGGCACAATGACGCAGAAAACAAATACTTTGAGCCCTGAAGATGACTTCAATAAAGACCGAAACGTTGGCACGATAAAGAAAATGTTTTGCTGAAACCTACGTCCCACCAGACCGCATCTCACAATTTCCGAATAATTACTATTAATTCTAAGATTCAAACAACTATCAATAATTAATACAAAAAACAAACATTGTACTATTAAATTATTATTATGAACTGATGACAATGATGATGACATTCTTAATGATCATACTACTGGATATTTTTTCGCTGGTTTACGATTTACTCGAATGATTCACGCCATCTTTAGGAAGGAAATAAACTTTCATACGTTGCAGACCAATAAACAAAGTGGATATTAAATTATTAATTTTTATTAATGTGGACGTAATTGTAAATGTTGTTAACAGCTTCCTTTGCCATTTGTTATTATATTATTTAATTCAATTACTATTTATGTTATAATTTATATAATAATATTTTAAAATAAAGTTATTTTTCAAAACTTATTTTTGAGATATTAATGAACAGAAACTGTACACGACTGGAGTGTTTTTTTTATGTTTCTCAGGCTTTCGTCAAAGTGTTGCATGAAGGACTGTTATACGAATTAAAACTATTTCTACCCCAGGCCTATTATCTAATTCAACAATCATTCCTTAAGGAGGGGTTTTTCGCATTAAATCAGGAATCGGGAACTTCTGAGATGAAGGAAATGCTACAGGTGTGCCGCATGGGTCAATACTCGCTCCGCTGTTGTACACAATTTGTACTTCTGGCATGCCCTCAAATGCCACAAAGCCACATATGCGGATGACATCACCGCATTAAGAAGTCACCCCTCTTCTACACAAGCTTTTCTTATGTACAAAACAACAGTCAACAGTAGAAAAAATGACGTTTAAAACGACAACATCACAACATTTCACCTTTACTTGCCCTAGCATAAACATGTATTGTTATTGAACTTCAATCTGACAAAGTTAACTATTTAGAACTTACATTTGATAGGAGACTAACGTGGAATCCAAACACATGATTACATGAACAGACACTCAACAAACAATTTAAAATGTTTTATTACCTACTGAACTGGTAATCAAAAATGACCACTAAATCAAAACTTTCGACATAAACAAACTTACTCAAACCTATATGATGCTACGGGTGCCAAGTTTACGGGTCGGCCAAATATTCCAATATTCAAAGATTACTATGTTTTCAATCAAAGAGTGTGCAAATAATGTTTTGCCCCTTCATATGTAAACAATAACATATATTAAAGAGTTTTTCACTTGCTATCTGTTTTTTTTTTTATTCATCAAAACTTATTACAGACGTATTCAGAGTAAATTACAAGGGATGGAAGAAGGAGAACCTTGCTAATTTAAGACTGCTCAAAAACTACTGCTTCTAAGAGTTGTATTCAGGGCAATTTCGTTTGACGCTGTGTATGGGTGTATGTTGGCTGGAGAAATGCCCATAGGCCTGAAAATCAAAGAAATATTGCAAGTATACGAAATGATACATGGGTACAGCATTGATGAAATAAACTTGGATATCAGAATAGATTTCATTTAATTGCTTCACCCATTATTTTACAGAGAAATCGAAAGAAAAAACAGTGAAGAATATATTATTCACATTTGTCGTGCTCGGGAAAAATTTTCCACACCATGTCGGCTATTACAAGCTTGCCTCGCACTGCTCTTACAACCAGATAAAAGAGTCACTTAATAGGAATAGTTAATTGTGCAGAGGGTTCCGTGCTTATCAGCACAGACAGCCGGACCTGTACTGACTTGCTAAAATCCCGAAAACGCATGACAAGGACAGTCCAAATGTGAATCGATTTGGAAAGAAACGAGAGAAGAAAAGAGGAATGAAGAAGAGGACGGGAAAGCAAAATAAGCGGGGAGAAAAAAATTTTAAGGATAAAATAAAAAAATTTCTAAAAATTAAATCATTTAACGAATCTGCACTTATTCGCCGGTCACCTAAATCAGTGCGTGTATCAGGTGGCAGGAGTTATGTCAGTGAACAAAATTGCTAAAAATTAAATCAAATGGGCTTAGAAGGTGTATAAGACAAATAAATGAAAGAAAAAAATAACAATAATGAAGAAAGAAAACAAAAATAAAATGAAATAAATTGAAATAAAGATAAAATAAAAATTAAAGAATACAAGAATATGGTTATACTATATACTACAAAGAAGTTCAAATTATAAATTTAAAAATTTTACAGTGTTAATTTGAAATCATAATGATCATAAATTAATTTTATGATTGTAAAGAAACCTAAGAACAACATTTAGTGAAAAATTAAAATAAAAATTAGTAAATTCACTAGTTTCTTGGTCCGCTTGACCAATTAATATATTTCAATTAATTAAGGTTTTTAGTTGAGATAAAAAAGTTAAAAAATGGCAAAAAGGAGGGAAAATTCAAAAGGTGGGGTTGAGATGGGAAGTTAGTGTCCGTGTGGATCGAGGTCACGACAGCTCAAGTGGTAGAGCAGCGGCGTATTTAGCCGAAGATCGTTGGTTCGAATCCCGCTTGTGACACTGATTTTTTTATCTCAATTAAAAACCTTCATTAATTGAAGTAAAAATTAGTGTTTAGTTTGGATATAAAAATATTAGTAATTACTTTTTGTCTTGTTTGATACTCATTGTTTGATTCAGCAAAAAGTTAAATTTTAAAGACTCACAAACAATAATATTTTAAAAACAATTGTTTAAATTTTAGAACCTGATCCATGTAATATAGTTAGGGCACTCTCAACACGACAGACAAGAATGACACATCTGCACGGAAAACAAACACTTGGAGCCCTGAAGATGATCTCAATAAAGATCGAAACGTTGGCACGATAAAGAAAATGTTTTTCTGAAACCTACGACCTCCCAATAATCATAATACAGTTTATTGGTGTTGAATCTAAAAGGTGTAAAAAGGATAATTCTCAAAAGAGAATTTCGGGTTATTATTAATGGATTTAATTTTAAATAACACTTATTCATTCCACTCCATGAAACAATACCATAGCAAATTATAGTCTGAACTAAGGCATAATTAGCCAATTTTAACAATTTAAACTTAGGACCTTTCTTAATACACTGAATATATGAAGGAGTTTTCTCAGTCGCACAACCAAGAGAACCAAGGAGAATTAATAAATACATTTGAATAAGATTATTTTTCATTTACGGAAATACTTTAATTTGATTTAAAATATTCAAGATGTAATAATGTTAATTCAAGCCATCTACATGCAATGTTAATAATTGTTTTTGAAGTAAACACATGTATATATCATAATGATTATAAAACACTTGTAATATGTCATATGGAGCATATGTCAATAAATATCTTCTTATTAGGGGTAATAGTAAGAGGGGGGAAAATGTAAATTTATCAATTCAACCTTTCCACAATTACCACTTTGACTACTGAAAAGAATATAGATCGGAGACATCTTGAATATTAATCTAGAAAATAAATAATCCAGATAATAAGATAATATCTTATTAATCCAGAGCAGCTGCCAATGGGTAGTTCACCACAATGTCAATTATTGTCAAAATTAAGTCGAATCGACTGGTTGTTTATAATATATATACAGTCGTAGATAAATATACATGTAGTAAAAAAAAACATGAAAAACAATTGGACTATTAAATTATGAATTGTTAAAATATCGGACGTTTCTAATTAGAAATGTAGTTAACGTCTAAAAGAGTTAGATAAATTTATGCTTTGGCCGTTTATTCAGCATTTTTATCGAATTCAAATCTCATTTATGTTATAATTAATTACATTATATTTCGTGGTCCGATTGACCAAATAACTTCTTTCAATTGATGAAAATGAAAAAGCTGATGTCACGAGCGGGATTGGGCCGAAGGTCGTGGGTTCGAATCCCGCTCGTGGCACTAGCTTTTTCATTTCAACCAATTCCTTACATAAAAAGATTAATTAGTTGAAAGAAGTTATAAATAAACTTTTATAATTGGATTTTTAAGAATTTGTTTTGTACAACTTTTTATGCTGTCGAATAATTCTTTTGTATTGTGTCTTCTTCACTTATCAATTATTTGATCTTTTATCATTAATTTGTCTGCTGATTATCGTACTCGACCCGATAGTACTTCTAGATTAAGCGAACTTAGAAAACTAAGGGGCAATTGCCGACAAAAATTCAAAAATTCTCACGCAAAAATATACTAAACTTGACATACCAAGGAAAGTGAAACGTCCGTCCAAGGACCGGTTTTTTAAATTATAGATTGTTTTCATAATAAAAATCTTCACTTTTCCTTTCAAATCTTGAAACGATCAATGGCAATTTTCTTTCATTTAGAAGTCCGGTTGAAAACAATCTGATAAATCTAGAATGGAAAAACTCAATAAATCTTTCCACGGACTTGTCAAATGTGGCCTGGCCTATTTCGAAAATTGTAATGTACAACCTGAGTGGTTTTCTTCTGTCCCATGGTTTCTCTTGGTGCTGTGCTGGATCTGCACTTACGTGGGCTTAGTTTACCGGTCCAAGGTTCACACTGAATACCCGACTCCACATAAAGCTATACGGGTCACCGGGCATAATAAAAACCCCTCCCATGACATGGGTCAACAGTCAGATTCAAATGTTTATTTACTACTTGTCTATTTAACCTAAATCGCAATCCTTATCCTATTATCGGTGTGTTTGAAGTAAAAAAAATCAATGCATAAATCTTCTCGAATGGGATGGTTTCCTGTCGACTGAGGTTGGAAATCCTGCGTACATTTACACCGATTAATGTAACAGATTGACTTTTTCATCTCAACCGAGAGCTTACATAAAAATAATAATTAATTTAAAGAATTAATTTGGTCAATTAGGCCACTAAAACATAATGGATGTAACGGATTGAATTGAATGTATTAATTTGATAAAATCGCATTATCCGTTAAAGTAAAGCAGTGCGGTGAAGAAAAGTAGAAATTATTTGTTGAAAACAATGCAATAATAAAATATCTAACTAAATAATTTATCAATGTTAAATAATAAAAATAAAACTTTATTCATTTTTGTTCTGCTTATCACCGCTATTTGGTCAACGCTTTTCAACATTTGGACATTTTTATTGGTCGATTTGTGTTTTTGGAATTTGAAAGGCTGTAATGAGACAAATTAATGGATTCAAAATGGGGTAAAGCTGAGAGCTCTGAGCAATAAGAATATAATTTTTCCTACTGACATATCTCGTTTGCCAGTTTCCGATCATTTTGCTCTGGCTAGCTTTTTGGTGTCTCACTCGTTGTGACATTTCGCCCTGTTTGGAGCTCAGCGTCAATGATATTAGCAGGCGCACAAACCCACTGAAGATGCCAAAATGATTGGCAACGACCAAAGTAGAGGTTCACCCCACAGATACTCAAAATAAAAATAACGATTTTTTTCGATTTATAACAAATCCGATAGTTATTAAAAAAAAAAAAACAATATTTGGATTTCAAGCCATCCTGCATGACAGGAATTACGTTACGTCAATATTAAAGAAAGCTGTAATTTTCAAATCACGATTAACATCATCATTAACCGAATTTAGATACCAGGGTCAGTTAGAAATATCTGCAAACTCAAAACAGTTCAATTTTAAACATTACTTTAACCGTGTGTTTCATTTTGTTTTTAATTTTCTGCAGATTGACCTGGATTTGAACTCAGCCGTCGCTGAATTTAATAAGCTGTAACGTCTTTTAATGCGGATTGTGTTTTACAGTTATGAAGATTTTTGCAGCTTCAAAAGCCCTGATGAGTTAGGTTCCAGAAGAAATTTAAACTTAAGCTTAGTTTCGTTGGCCTTTTTCCAGGAGAATAAAAAATTGATGTTTGTATTATGGAGTTAGTGCCATCTATAATTGGGCGCAGGCGAATCAGGAAAACATAACTGTAACTTACTTTCTTAGAACTTTTCCTTTGGTTGTGCTCAATAGGTCCATTGACTTTTTATTTAAGGCAGTACCAATTTATTCGCCTTTTTGTGAGTCAACATACACTTTCTCCTTGATTCAAAGGTAAATCGCGTTACCTATGCTTTACTCGCGTATAAAGACAACCGGCCTATTCTAACTTTTTCCTGACATTATCACGTGGAGGACGCTTAAAGAAAGCTATGCTTGTCGAGTGGCCGGTCGAAGAAATTGAAAGTGGAATTATCAAAAGAAAAAGTGGACGGAATCATCCGCCGGGGCAGCGTCCGGTCGCAGCAATTATTTCGCAACGCACGTCCTGGAAAACTAGATAAATTATTTTTTCTCCTATTACTTTCACACAGGAGCACTCTACTGTTTCAAACATGAGCTGAAAGTAAGGAAGATCCTTTAGATTTTGAGTAAAAGCCGTTTGATTTTCTACATCAATTAAACTCAATTAAACGGTCGATGTGCAATGTGTGAATAGTACTCATATTCATACATGCCCATCAGAGAGAGAGAGAGAAAGAGGACAGTGAGCGAGTGGGTGAGATAGAGGACAGCGAGCGAGTGGATGAGAGAGAGAGAGAGAGAGAGAGAGAGAGAGAGAGAGAGAGAGAGAGAGAGAGAGAGAGTGAGTGAGTAGGTGAGAGAGAGAGATAGAGAGAGTGAGCGAATGGGAAAGAGAGAAAGAAGAAAGAGGGAGTGGGCGAGTACGCGAGAGAGAGGACAGTGAGCGAGTGGGTGAGAGAGAAAAAAAGAGAGAGAGTGAGCAAGTGGGTGAGAGAGAGGGAGAGAGTGGGTCAGAAAGAGAGCGTGTGGGTGAGAGAGAAAGGGAGGGCAAGTGAGTGAGAAAGAGAGAGAGGGAGAGAGAGAGAGGGAATGAGCGAGTGGGTGACAGAGAGAGAAACAGAGAGAGAGTGAGCAAGTGGGTGAAAGAGAGAGAGAAGAAAGTGGGAGTGGGCGAGCGTGAGAGAGAGAGAAGAAAGAGAGAGAAAGAGAGAGAGAAGAAAGAGAGAGAGAGAGAGAGAGAGAGAGAAAGAGAGAGAGAAGAAAGAGAGATAAAGAGAGAGAGAGAAGAAAGAGAGAGAGAAGAAAGAGGGAGTGGGCGAGTGCGTGAGAGAGAAAAGAAAGAAAGAAAGAGAGAGAGAGAGAGAAGAAAGAGGGAGTGGGCGAGTGCGTGAGAGAGAAAAGAAAGAGAGAGAGAGAAGAAAGAGGGAGTGGGCGAATGCGTGAGAGAGAGAGAGAGAGAAGAAAGAGGGAGTGGGCGAGTGCGTGAGAGAGAAAAGAAAGAGAAAGAGAGAGAGAAGAAAGAGGGAGTGGGCGAGGGCGTGAGAGAGAAAAGAAAGAGAGAGATAGAAGAAAGAGAGAGATAGAGAGAGCGAAGAAAGAGGGAGTGGGCGAGTGCGTGAGAGAGAAAAGAAAGAGAGAGTGAGCGAGTGGGTGAGAGAGAAAGAGAGCGAGTGGGTGAGTGAGAGAGAGTGAGAGAGAGAGAGAGTGAGCGAGTGAGTCAGAGAAAGAGCGTGTGGGTCAGAGAGAAAGGGAGGGCAAATGGGTGAGAAAGAGAGAGAGCGTGAGCGAGCGAGTGGGTGAGAGACAAAGAGAAAGAGAGTGAGTGGTTAAGAGAGAGAGAGAGCGATTGGGTGAAAAAGAGAGAGCGAGAGAGAGTGGGTGAGAGAGAAAGGGTGGGCAAGTGGGAGATAAAGAGAGAAACAATCAGCGAATGGGTGAGAAAGAGAGAGAGCGTGAGCGAGCGAGTGGGTGAGAGACAAAGAGAAAGAGAGTGAGTGGTTAAGAGAGAGAGAGAGCGATTGGGTGAAAAAGAGAGAGCGAGAGAGAGTGGGTGAGAGAGAAAGGGTGGGCAAGTGGGAGATAAAGAGAGAAACAATCAGCGAATGGGTGAGAAAGAGAGAGTGAGCGAGTGGGTGATAGAGAGAGGAAGAGTGTGTTCGTGTGAAGGAGTGAGAATTGGTTTAAGCGTATACGAATATCTGATTCCCACACAGTTAAATTAAAACATTTTTACTTATAGTAATTTTACCACAATTCATCCTATAATGCTTGTAATTTGTCAAATTTTGAAAAAGGGTTACCTGCGTTCTTGCAGCAGAAAACAATAAATAATATCGGTTTTGCTGAGTGGGTGGTAATTCCCTCCGGAACGCATTGTTTTCACCTGTGTCGACGGAAGTCGGCAGATATAATTGTACCCTTTTCGTTCTACACGCTTTCTAAACCTGCTTTTTTGTCTTTGAAATTCTATTTTTTCACCTAAAGAACCGGACTGTTGAGTCACAATTGAATAGCGGAAAATTGCCGAAAATTCGATAGATCGATTAGTTCAAGCACTGCTTGCGGATTTTTTATCATGTTTTCTGATATACATTCTAAATTATGTACGTCTAAAGAATGTTTAGGATTGAATGAAGGATAATAAATACAACAAATTATGTATTAAGGGATTAACAATACAACGAGTTGACATGAAATAATGGTCAATCCTATTTTGCAATTATAAATTTTGTATTTGAACACATTGCTATGATTAAAAATGCAACAATTGAAGGTATGCATTCGAACTAATCTTACAGACACGATATTTGACGGAAAATCGCAGGTTTAATAAAAAAGCAATATGTTTCTTGGCAATACAAAACAAGATGTATTTCTTGCCATTTGGTAAGGACAGATATTCCCGGGGGATTTTCGGACGACCCTGCGGTCACGGGTCAGTTGGTTAGGGTCCGAGAGGAGGGACGAATCCATTTTCCACCGGGGTCCTTATCCCGTCTTTTTTCCCCCGACGACAGCACCCCCGCACCGCACCCGACACTCTTCTGGAATGCACCTACCTCATTTTTCCGCCGCCTTTCCACGGGGAACATTGAAAAACTCTTTCATTTATTATTGTTGCGGTAGAAACGTTTCGTACTCCCGTCAAGATTAAATAAAGTAAAATTGATGTTAAGAAAATAGGCCAGACAGGGCATGGAGGATAGGCATATTAGGATGATGGAACCAAAATAGAAACTCATCACCCATCTTTTAGACCTCGATAAGAATAACAACAACAATGAACCAGAATTGCAAGAGAAACGCTTGCTTGTTAGTGGTGCAATCGGTGTCAATTCAAATTCGGTTTGACGATACAAACTACCGTATAATAGACGAAAAATAGATAATGTTAGTTAATCTATAGGAATAGGAAACATGTGTCGGTTGAATTCTTAATAAATTATAGCATTCGTACATTTAAACATTGTTTTAAAGTTCAAGCATTTGATCTGTTTAAACAGTTTTTACAACTAATTAAGGTTTTTAGTTGAGATAAAAAAGTCAGTGTCACGAACGGGATTCGAACCCACGATCTTCGGCTAGATACGCCGCAGCTCTGCCACTTGAGCTATCGTGACCTCGATCCACTCGGACACTAACTTCCCATCTCAACCCCACCTTTCGAATTTTCCCTCCTTTTTGCCATTTTTCAAATGTCGTGTAATCTATTTAATTCTCGGCGACAAATGAAATGGCCGCGGAGAGCTTTCGTGAAGGTATACTTCATTTCAACTTATTAAATTCACTAGTTTTCGTGGTCCGCTTGACCAATTAAT